TAAAGAGAGAGAGAGAGAGAGGCTTGGATTGCACTTTTTTAGGTTCATCTCTTTTCAGTGGTTTTGGCCTAGTCCCCACACTTTTATATAATTTCTCTTTTTCAGTATATGGCCCTCTATGCATCTTTTTTTATTCTCTCTTAATATTTTATCTTTTGTAATATATTTGATTCCTTGATTTAATTATTTAAATTATTTTTAAATTTTGATATAATGTTATGTATATTATTATAATAATTTTTCAAATAATATCCTCTTTTTATTTTAATTTTTTGGTTTGAATAATTTTTTTAAAATTAATTAAGAAAGATCCAAACTAACTTTAGCTTTTAATAATTTTTAAGGTAAAAAAAGTTACTTCAAAAATATTACGTAGAATATTGTTTTTGTGTAGTAGCTTAATGACCAACATATTTATATTTAAAGGGAAGATCCATTTTATTTCCTTATAAAAACTATATAATTAAATTAATATTCTATGCACAAAAATCAGACTCGATTTAATCTTTTATAAAATTTAATTAGATCATATTAATTCATCTATTAATATTTTTTAAATCAATTTTCTATCTACTTTTAAACTGTAACTAGACTGTCACGTTTGATTTTAATTTTTTATTTTCATATTTTAAATATTAATTAATTTTCATTTTTAATTTTAATTTTACTTGTAAGTAATTCAGATTTGAAAATATGATAAAAGTCAAAGTTGGAACCTTTAAACACATCCTATGTCTTTAGAATCAAGCTAACGTGCATTTACGATATATAATTTTTATGAATTATAGTAATATTAAACAATTCTGAATTTAACATAAAAAATACAAATTTTATATATATGAGTCACAAATCCAAGTCTCTTCAAATTAAATGGTAGTAATTTTATAACTAAATCAATTATTTTTTATATTTCTATACTTAATTTAATAATTAAGAATAGATATTTACTTATTTACTTATTTTAAATAACACACAAATAAATATTTATTATTTAAAATAATACATAAATTTAAAAATAAAATTATTAAAATGACAATCCTAAATATAATTAATTAAGTAGAAATAAATTATATAATTTTTAATAGAAATTAAAGAAGACACATTTACTTATTTCAAATTAATTCAAATTAAATAGTAATTAATTAATTTAATAGTAATTCAATTAACTAGTAAAATACTATTTGAATATCTCAAATTAAATTAATTAATTATTTTATTAAATAATTTATTTAATTAAAGTTAAATTATAAAAAAATTAATATAATAGTAAATCATTTAAATAATAATTTATTTTTATCTAGTTAATTATATTTTTTATTTGCATTTTATTAATTTTATTTTTAAATTTTTATTTTTATATTTTTGTATTACTTAAAATTAATAAATATTTACTTTTGTGTTATTTGAAATAAGTAAATTAGAAAATAAATAAATGTTTATTTTGAATTATTAAGTTAAATATTCATCATTAGAATCATAATTTTTTTTTTTGTTTTAAATTCAAAATTTTTAAGTATTTTGTAATTTTTATTTTAAATTCAAAATTATTTAATATTATTATAAATCTTGGGAATTTTTTTTTTATGAATGTATACTGGCCAAGTGGTAATGGATAATATGTTGTTTTAAAGGTATCCCCTATAAGAATAGATTTTGGATTATTGATATTTTAAAATCAGAATTGTTTAAAAATAAAATTGAAATTAAAAACAAAAATCAATTTAGTATTTGGAAAGTGAAAAATAAAAATCAATTTGCTTTTAATATGAATTATATATAAAGAAATTTCATAATTTATAAGAATCTTACTAGGAAATGAAAATCTAAATAATAAATCAAATTTTTTTTCTTAAATAATATTATTTTACAACTTTAAAAATAATAATTATTTTTTATTTTGACTAAAAAAAATATTAATTATTATCTATTCATTTTATAATTTGTATTCATATACATACACATTGTTTTGATAGCCAACAACATTCAAAACACATTTCAATCATGGCTTCCAATATTTCTCTCCTTTTGTTGTTCTCCTATATTACAACAATCCTTCATTTTATTATTTTCACATTTGCTCAATCTGATAATTATATCATTCACATGAATTTATCAGCTATGCCAAAAGCATTCTCAAATCAACATAGTTGGTATCATTCCACTCTTTCTCAAGTTACTACTGCCAACAATAATCTTAATTCTCCTTCTTCTAAAATCATTTATACATACACTAATGTTATGAATGGTTTTAGTGCAAATCTATCACCTCAAGATCATGAATCTCTCAAAAACTCTCCTGGTTACATTTCTTCAATGCCTGATTTACCCTTGAAGCTTGACACAACACACTCACCTCAATTTCTTGGTCTTAATCCCTACAAAGGAGCATGGCCAGCTTCTGAGTATGGCAAAGATATCATTGTTGGTGTAATAGACACAGGTGTTTGGCCAGAAAGTGAAAGTTTCAAAGATGATGGAATGACTGAAATACCATCAAAATGGAAAGGCCAATTATGTCAATTTGATAATTCCAATAATTCATCTTTGTGCAACAAGAAACTCATTGGAGCTAGATTCTTCAACAAAGGGTTCTTAGCAAAATATTCCAACCTTAGTACAACCATTACGAACACGACCCGTGACGTAGACGGTCATGGAACACATACTTCAACAACTGCAGCTGGAAGCAAAGTTGATGGTGCATCTTTCTTTGGTTACGCAAATGGAACAGCAAGAGGAATAGCTTCGTTATCTAGACTAGCCATATACAAGAATGCATGGGGAAAGAATGGAGATGCAGTTTCATCTGATGTAATAGCAGCAATTGACGCTGCAATATCGGACGGTGTCGATGTTCTTTCGATATCTTTAGGCGATAACAATGTATCTTTATATGAAGATGCTATTGCAATAGCCACTTTTGCAGCAATGGAAAAAGGTGTTATTGTTTCCACTTCAGCAGGTAATAATGGAGCTTCCTTTAAATCTCTCCACAATGGAACACCATGGGTGATAACTGTTGCTGCTGGTACTATGGACCGTGAATTTCATGGGAATATTACACTTGGTAATGGTGTCTCACTCACAGGTTTGTCTTCTTATATAGGAAATTTCTCTGCTAGCAATTTTCCTGTTGTTTTCATGGGTAAGTGTGATAATGTTGAAGAATTAAAAAAAGTGAAGAGTAACATTGTGGTTTGTGAAGATAATAGTGGAATTGTTACTGCTCAAATATCAAATCTAGTTGAAGCAAAGGTTGTTGGAGGTGTTTTCATATCAAATATGCCAAACATATATGATTTAGACAATATTTTTCCATCCATCATTATTGATCAGATAAATGGAGAAATTGTGAAAGCTTACATAAAGAGTTATACCTCAAAAAACTCTAGTTCTATAGCAAGCATGTCTTTCAAGAAAACCATTTTTGGTGCTAAGGCATCACCTAAGGTTGATTCTTATAGTTCAAGAGGGCCATCATATAGTTGTCCATATGTGTTGAAACCTGACATTACAGCTCCTGGTACATCAATCTTAGCCGCATGGCCTCCGAATATTCCTGTGTTGGAATATGGAACAAAAGTCTACAACAAGTTCAATGTTTTATCCGGAACATCTATGTCATGTCCTCATGTTGCTGGCGTGGCAGCCCTCTTAAAAGGAGTGCATCCAGATTGGAGCCCGGCAGCTATTAGGTCAGCCATGATGACAACATCAGACATACTTGATAATACTAAGCAACCCATCAAAGACATTGGAAACGATAACAAAGATGCAACCCCTTTAGCATTGGGAGCTGGTCATGTTAACCCTAATAGAGCACTTGATCCTGGCCTTGTTTATGATGTTGGTGTACAAGATTATGTTAATCTTCTTTGTGCACTTAACTTCACGCAACAAAACATCACTGCCATTACAAGAACTCCTTTTAATGATTGCTCTAAACCTTCTTTGGATCTTAACTATCCTTCTTTTATCACTTTCATAGATGCTGGGAATTCTTCTGTCAGGACAACCCATGAATTTCGTAGAACAGTTACCAATGTTGGTGAAGGACAATCTACTTATTTTGCTAGCATTACTCCAATTAAAGGGTTTAATATCAGTGTTGTACCAAATAAGTTGGTCTTCAATAAGAAGAATCGGAAGATTAGCTTCAAGTTGAAGATTGAAGGACAAAAAGTGACACAAAAGAATAAAGTATCTTTTGGATATCTCACTTGGAAAGATAGCAAGCATGTGGTGAGGAGTCCTGTTGTTGTAACTACACCCGATTTCAATTTGTAGATCATTATATATCAAATCAAAACTAAGAGGATTATGCATGTGATAATGGGTACAATATATGATATTTGAACACCAATATTTGAATATAATGAGTTTTCTTTGCTGGTCTATTATGTTTAACGTAATATTTACTTTGTTTTTTAGCAGTAAACTTCAGGTAGAGTTTTATTTTGTCTAAAATTGATATTCAAATTTTGTTGTTATATTATACATTGAATTAAATGTTATTTGAGAGTTCATATAGTTGTTTTAATATTCAACTAAAAATAGAGATAAAAAATGAAATTGATGGAACTAGTCTACAACAGATGAAACAAATCTCAATTTCATTCCGGCTCTTCATATCTGCATCTTCAACTACATAAACTTATTTAGATATAACTACGCTAAATATCTGAAGGTTTAAAGTTTTTAGTTGATCATACCCTATTTACTTTTGTATATAGCTTAATTATCTTTTAGGGTCTTTGCGAGTTGGATTTTTGAAGGTTTTGGAAGATTATCTATATACTTTAATATTTTTATAATATTTAAAAAAAATATTAAAACAATATGGTTTTGGGCAGATCAGAATGGTCATTGACAATTGAAAAGAAGCAATAATTTACTCAAAATTACTCATAACCTAGGAAAGCTTTCCTTACCAAAGAAAGTAGGAGATCTAAGACATATCAAACGACTCTATGCACCACTCACCTAGGAAATAACAAGTTGTTATAATCGCCCTAATATATAAAGGGTATATATGAAAAACGTTATGTAATAAATTTCAATTTCAAATTTCATTCACTCTTCTTCTTCTTCACACTCTGACTTGAGTATTGAAATGCTAACTTGGAGGTTAGCCCCTCCTCCTATGTATCTGAGGCTCAAGTCGAATGTTGTTCATCACAACCACCAATTTTCTGATCAATTCTGATTTCAAAATAAAAGAAATAGGATACTATATGTTAATATATCATTATGTTGTTTTTTTAAAATTAAATAGATAACAAAATATATATGTAGTCCACCAAAACATTTCTCTTTAAAATCTGATACGCTACAAACATACGACAATACATAAGTAGTATAAAAGATTTTTCGTTTCCATAAAGAACAATTTTCTAAGTATTGGATTCTATCACTTCTATGATTATGGAACAATCAGAAGAGACAAAGGACATATGACCACCATCAATCCATAAACCAACAGCAGATCCTGTTGACGAACATGATGAGATAACACCAGAACACAAAGAACCATAATGTAAAGCACACAAGTCAAACAAGATAAGCAAATAAATGTGATATATCCCTAAGGTAACCCCACTTTTAGAAAATGTCCCCAGCAGAGTCGTTAGTTTTGTGATACAGTGGGAGAACTGACTTGAGGGTTTTGCGTTTGATTGCAAATGTTGCGGTTAGCAAGAGTCGTCACCGACTTTTCTTTTATCCAAAAGGAAAGGTTAAAAAGCACAGGAAAGACCTTTGAGATTGTTTCTTGAGTTCGGGGGGTAGATTATGAAAAGGGAAGGTATTAGCACCCTTCTCATCCATGGTTTTCCATGGGCTCTTAGTTACTTGCTAGATCACTTGCTTTTGTTTGAAATTGTGCTTTGTGTGGTTTTTGAAAATATTTTGTAAAGAGGTCATTGTTTAGGAAATCGTTATAATGATTCCTGTTCGTAAGAATGTATAAAAAGATGTTTGATCTTTTGAAAATGTTTTCAATTTTGTAAGATGTTTTGAAAGTGTATGTGATTGTTTTGAAAATAGCAAGGATGTTTGTTTTGAAATGGAGCAAGTAATTAAGAACAATCTACCTACTTAAATGTCTTTCTCGTTCATTTTATTTTCTTTTGACATTGTTGTCTTACCATTGATTTGGTAAGCAACCCTATCTTTGGATGTAAACAGGACGGGCGTGGGTCATCGTATAGCCATGATTAGCAATGTTGCAAGGTATCTTAGCATTCTTTTAGAGGGATTAAGATCATTTTGTAAGGCAACTTTGAATAGCGTCATCGAGGGACTATGATCTTGTTTTTGTTTGTTTTTGCTAAGATACCTTACACGCGTAATATGGCTATTTTTGTAAGGCAGCCAAGTGGTTTTTACCCTAGGGGTGCTTGTGTGCAAGTGTGTCATTTTCATGCTTATTTTTGTCTTAAATTAGGGTTTTCTATTTTGCTTGATTTTATTCTTTCCATACAAACCCTAATTACTAGCATGTTATGTAAAAGCGATAAATTGCGAAATTTAAAGTTACTACGCTATTACAACATTTGTGGGAGGGGGTATACAATTTATGAATGGGGATTGCAATAATATAAACCTAATTAATCTATTACAACCAAATTAAATTATTGTACAAATAATTGAAACAAATAATATGCAAGATGAAAGAAATGTAAATGCAAAGAAAAGATTTTGTTTTTTTGTTTTCTTAAGAAAAAGGGTCTTGATTTTAACCTAATTTGATAGAGAAAACAATTAGTCAATTTTAAGATCATTAAGAAAAAGATTCTTGAATAAAAATCCTAATTCTACTTAAAAAGAAATGAAATTTATAAAAAGATATTTTTTTATATTTTCACATTTTTATATTTTTTGTCTTAAAAAAATAAATTATAGTGTTATAAAATATTCTTTAGTCTTTTGGTATCAAAAATAATATTTTCATTAATATAAAATAAATAATATTTTAGTTTTAATTAAAACTTTATAAGAAAAATTAAAAAAAAAGTAAATAAAGTATGATAAATAAAATAATTTTTATGTGGAAAAATAATTAAATTATGTCAAAATATAAATCTACATTTTTCATACATTTTATGATTTTTTTGATATTTTAGAAAATGTATTTAAAAGAAAAAGAAATAAAGAAATAAAATAAAGATAAAATGGACCAAGGGGTGCAAATATGAAACCGAGAGGCAAGTGTTAGAAGAAAAACAAAGGCCCAATGAATTAGAGGCCCAGCGTTGCAAGAGGCCAAAAAAATGTGAAAATGTGAGAAAATGCAAAAGGCAGTGCGCTGAGGCTCGGACCTATGACCTCTAGCAATAACGCGCGCTGCCTTACCACTGGAGTGGCTGTAAATCCGTTTATATAAACAAAACCATAAATATATAAGGCAAATTGCTTTCTGAAGGCAACTTCATCTTCAACCTTGAGTCATGGCCGGACCACCTGTATCTTCCTCATTTCTCCACAAAAATGGAAACTCCAAACATGAAAGTTATGGTGTTTCTTCTCACGAATTCAAACATATAACTTATGTAAACTAAATGTCAAAGATAAAAACTAATTTTGCTGGCCCTAAATTGAAACCTAATTTTCTCAGAAATTTCAAATCCAAAATTCTCTATACACAGTCAATATAAATGGAAACTATGAACATGGTTAGCTTTAGAGCAAGGATATCTACATTTTTTTTCCACAAATCAGGATCATATGATGCTTGTATGAAGAGATAGAAGTTTGAGTTTTTACCTCTTGCAGTTGGAGTCGTGAATGGAGTTTGAGTGACTTTTGAGATGGTCTGAGGATTTGTTTAGCTTGCCTGGACCTCCTTGAATGTATCTCAACTCTTACTTTGCCTTGAATGTCCCTGAATATCTCTACTCAAGTCAACCTGCAAGCTTGGTTTTTGAAAATGGTGGATAGTGATGGAGGAGTTACAGTGAGGAAACAAGGGTATGGATTGCTTTGATATGATGTTTAGAAATTGTTTGAGTGATTAATTTTCAAAACGCACGAGTGGAAATGAAGATCATGAGTTTTGGTTCAGAACTGTATGTTAATGGTGCTCTTGAACAGGTTTTTGGTTTTTGAATGTTTGAGGTAGTTTCAGGGCAATAGCATTCGTGTTTCAACTTGCCAATAGTGTGTCTACTTATAAGCAAGAGGTTTCAAGACTTTTATCAACTCAGATTTCAAAAACTCACATGTTTTACTTGGTTACTTGTTTTTGAAGCAAAGCTAGCAAGCATGGTTTCAAGGTGAAGTACAAGGCTTGTAGAGGGTTGAGACCTTTAAGCACACTTGTTCTGATTGTGTGGAGTGTATTTGTGCAGAAATAACCAATGCAAGGCTCAATGCAAGCTGACTTTGCATAAAGCTTACTTTTCTAAAATGGCAATGTTGTCTTTCTTCCCAAAATGGAATTAAGTTTGTACAATGCATTGAATGCTTGGGCTAAAGCTTCCAACAGCTGTGAAAACATTTAATTATGGAGTGAAAGACAAGTTTGAGGCCTAAAAAGAAAAGATTATGCAGCCTAGCATGGATTTGCATTTGTGTTCATCATGAAAATGACCTAAATTTAAGTGACAAAACCCTAATTTCATCTCTTCGATTCCCCTTGCTCAAGAATGATCTCAAGGAGTTCTTGGACATTTTGGAAAGCTTGCAATATGCTCTACAACTCATCTTTGAATTGATTTTGAAGATTCCCCTTTTAACTATGTGAAAAATTTCCATGAAGTTAGATCAAAAATCTGCCTAACTAGGGCAAAATCCACTAAGTTATTTTTAGTTCATGAGCATGTATTCACAAAATTATAACTTGAGATCCAAGAATTTTTAGGAGAAGTTGTGTGAAGAAAAGTTGTAGATTTCTTGTAGATCTACAACTTTCATGTTGTAAGTTTCCTTTGAATCATCTTGCATCATGGTAAAAAATTAGCTCAAAGTTATGAAAAAATAAGAAATTTTCTATACTTAGAAAATTTTCTAAGTTAAGAAATTTCAACTTTTCAAAACAAAATCTTGAATTCTTAATTTCTTGATGAACAAGTTTCATATTTTGACATGTTTTGATGAATTATGATCTTTGGCACTTGAATTTGACTAAAAAGTCAAAGTTTGACTTTTCAGTATACAATTGACTGAAAAATTCATTTGTCAATCCAATGGACTTGTAGTGTTTTGAAACATGTCATTAGGTCAAAGTGATGAAAATGGACTCTTGAGATCATGTCTTAACCCAATTGATCATTTTCTAGGTCAAAAAC